TTTAGAAATCTGAAGCACTTACTTTAACTTTTGGGTGTTTACTTTGTCGAATCAGATAAATCGAAAATACATTTAGTCAAGCAGTGAGCACCCAATTATTATGGCTCAACACCTGTTCTCGTCAGCTCTCCAATAAAGTATTCATCACTTTAGTATTATTTACTTATTTGATTTATCTTAGCCCTAAGCCGTCAGCTGAATACCGGCATCTCACGACTGTCACAGCAAATGTTAGTTCATGTAGACCATCCAATCGACTCGCGACCGGTGGAACGTTTTGTCCCCGTCGAAAATGCAATTATCCTTCCAGCCTCAGCACCACGTAGAACACTCGCCTATCTTAGCCTGATAACTCTAATAATATCCCGCAAAGTAGGTTGCGAGATTCAAAAATATACGAGAGCACAGACAATCTTGCAAAGCAAACAATATATTGAAGAGTACTTCTATAAGTCCTCGGCCAATATATCGCCTTCCGAAATGACCGTGACGTTCGCCAGGGATGACTCGTGTATAATGTACGCGCTGAGTAGAAATCAGACAACCTTGTTGTCGTTAATGCAACTTTTCCGTTCTGGGAATTTTCTTGTGTCTTACCAGTGATTCAAGAGGTATTCCTGTCGTTGAGTGGGTTTTAGACTGCATCATCAAAATGAAGATATCCTTGGAAAAAGATATAGCTGTAGGGGAATTCAGGAACAAGGCAAGTGGGTATGACAAGAAGTCCGGATTTTAGCGATGTGCGTCCGACATATGGCCAAAGAAAATATCCACCATTCCGAATCCGTTTTTGATCGACTCAGTAAAGAGCTGGGATAGTTCACGGGAGGCTGATGCAAGGGCAATTCTTACATGAAAACCCATGACTTTTGGCAATGATCGCTGCAATGACATGCTTCCGCAGTTCCTATGCACACCTCCTTTAAAAGAAACATAAGGCGGATAGTCAATATTATCAAACTAAATTGGTTGAATTCTGCTTAACGGCGCTCTACAATAGTTGAGACGAATGTTCGCATTCCATGTGTGTATAAATAACGAAGAAGAAAAAGGATAAGAAAAAGAAGAAGGCTCTTTGCTCACCGGCATCATATCTTTATTTATCTGAACTTTCGAACTGGAGTCCAGCGTCAGAGATAGAAGCAGCACCAAGACAAACAGGAGGCATAGAGAGCAGGAGGGAACCAACCACGAGTACCACCAGTCCGGAAGCGGCTGCCCAGGGTTCCGCATACTCGAGCCAGATCGATAAATCGATTGAATGAGTTCGCATCGGAGACCTAGACTTCAAACACTTCCCGGCTTGTCCGGCTTCCGGCGTGGGAGACTATTGTCGCGACCGCGAAATTGAACTCTGCTTCAATAGAACGGTGTTTTGCTATCAGGCCATGAAACCTAGACTCCGGTTTGTGCTCATTTTGAACAGTAATTGATGATACTGAACCACTCGAACCGAGAATTTGGGGAAATTATTGAAAGCATTGGATTATCTTGTCAGAAGGTAACGTTTTCGCGGCAATATAGCTGTTATTTATCCTTCGCGATGTTGAGTAATTGCGCTTTGCGGACCGCGCTGTCCGACCTGTCTTGGGACGTCGATAACCGTCTCATGTCCATTGGCTACCACTTCGCGGGAGCAAATTCGCCGTCGTGGTCAGTGAATATTCCACCGGCAATGACATGTGCTGATGAGGTTATGTAAAATGACCGAAACACCTGTCTGCCCTCTTTGTGACTAGGCCGAAAACAGACAGACTGATTCCGTTTGGTGACCTCAATGCTTGCGTCGGCATAGACCTGCGAGGGGGGAGGGGCTTGGTGGGCAGGGGATTTGCAAATGTAACCGCTTGTACGTCTGCGTGGAACACAACTTCTTCTCGACCAAGAGCTTCTATCGCGACGCGGATGCACCGTGGCTCGCGTCACCGGCATCTGCTGGAATACGGCATAGCGGTGCTTCCTGCTGTGAACTACCGGACGGGCCAACGACTTGTCATCTTCACGAGGAAACTTCACCTGCGGCCCCGGGCGGATACAATTCAGAGGAAAATCAGGTACTTTAACTGCGACTGAACGCCGATTGAATTTTGACCCTCGCATGGTCCCCCAACTGTACCAAATTCAAGTCTTTGAAGACAATGTTTTGATAGCCAAAGGAGGGAAGTGTGAAATGCTTTGCAGGCCAGGAATCTGAAAGACCTCCGCACCAGAAAGGTCCACAAAACTCGAACACAGACACCCAACTCAACTCCAATACTCATGACACCGAACGGCCTGGTCAGTCACGTGCAAATCCATCTGTAGGAATCCATTGCCCAGAGCAACTGCGCTGACTCATGCTGCCTTTCGTGGGCTGAGCTTCGCTCGCAGCGCGCTATTGCCCTTTTGAACATTTGATGCCAACTCACCGCGTTTACGCTCGTAGGTAACCGATACTCCTGCCTCATTTGATTGGCGGCAGCCGATCGATTACTCATTCCACAGCCTAAACTTGTCACATCCCGACGTTTGCATCTGCACGGCTGGCTATCGTACGCGGCGCCACTGTAGAGCTTCTTGATCAGTAAAGTTGCTCGAATTTAATCAGTCTTCTCAGACTTTTTATTTGAGGATCCTTATGGTGTCGAGACAGCAACTGGCTCGCAATACATTTCACGGAGACCGAGGGACCAGTGCCTTGAACCCCGATTCGTACCCGCATCCCTGACCTACACTAATCCATGATATTCCGCCATCGAGCATATATGCATCCTTTAATTTATTCGGAAAATCATAACACCTAGTTCAACCTACACTCCCACTCCCTTTTGCCACCCACAAAACAACGCCATAGAACACGCGCGCAAAACGCTCATTCATAACGCAACCTTCCTCGCTGCTGTAGCAAGCACGTGACCTAAGTCGCTACGACCTGCACTGTGGACAAAGCACCGCGTACTGGAAAGAGAAAATCCCACTTTTTAAATAAGGGCATGGAGCGTGACCCAGGTTGTTTGCGGTACGCCTAGGCGGACTGTTGAGCTGTGTCTACGTTCCCATCAACAGATTATTGACAGGCTTGGGCAGGAGTCGTTCCTCACGGCACATCGGAACGCTCCTTCTTATACTTAATACAACCCCTGCAATTTATCATGACGTGCAATAAGTTGTAACCTGAAAAATTGTCACCTGACGCAATGCCACGGTCTTATTCAGGATAGAGCTGGGACGCGATGGTTACCCCTTAAACCGGTTCTTCTGCTACTGCTTTCTACTTATGTTTCTAATGAA